GGCGACCTGGGCGACCCCTCCCTATCGCCTCCCTACTCCTCACCCCCGTCGTCGGAGCTCCAGAGCCCGCCGCCACCGGGACCGTCGTAGACTCGCAGGACCAGAGGGGCTGCGTCGTCTCCGAGTCCTCTAGAAGACATTTGCCATCCAGGACCTTCGCTTCTCCTTCTCCAAAGCTGACTGCAGGACACACCGGCCGCGCCGCGGGGAGCTTGCCAAAACACATGGCGGCCGGGCCGGGGGCCGCGCCGAGCAGCGGCTCCCCTCCACGGCCGCGGCCTCCGAGTCCGCCAGCGGCCTCAGCCCGGCCGGCAGGCCATGGGTGTACTGACATTATTCTCATTTTTGTTTTTGATTGCCTCCCTCCCCTTTCGTTTTGTTGTCCCCCGTGCGCCGTGCGTGGAGCGGCGGCCCCGGCCGCATGCAGCCCGTACTGGAATGCAGTCCCGGCAGACGTTGCTGAGTCGCCCGCTCGCTGTCGTGTCGCCCTCGCCCTGCGGGCTCTTCTCTCCGCACCCCTTCCCCCCTCCCCCTCCCGCCCCTCATCCTCCGAGCAGGTCCTCGTGCACTCAACCACGCCCGGCGATGCACGGATTGCAAAATTGATGAGTGCGGGCACGTCCTGGTCCTGCGGCGGCCGGTCCTGTGCGAGAGCCGGGGCGTGGCCGGGCTGGGGGCCTTGGAGCGCTGCTGCCCCGCGCGCCGTCCGTCGACGCCATCCTGGTCTTTCCCCAGCCCAGCCCTGCCCCGCGCGCTTTTACGACCGCCGCCGCGCGCCCTCGCGACCCCCGTCCGTCCCTTTATGACCCAATGTGCCCCGCACGGTGCTGGCCGCGCCCACGGCTCCGCGAACGTGCTCTACGCGAGGCTCTCCCGCCGCCGCTGACGCCGACTGCTCCCCTCCGGTGTGACGACGGCGTCCGTCTGCGTCTCTGCCTCTCATTTGATCTTCTCCGGTGTGACGTCGGCGTCTGTCAGTCTCCCTCTTGCCTCTCATGTGCTCTCCTTCGGTGTGACGGCGGCGTCTGTCTATCTTCCTTCTGCCTCTCCTCTCATGTGCTCCCATCCGGAGTGAGCGCACCGCTGTGATGGTGGCGTTTGTCTCCCTGCTGCCCCTCATGAGCAACACTCTCCTTCCCAATTTCTTGGCCCGCGACCAGCACGAGTGGTCGAGTGTTCCGCGAAACGCATCGCCACTCTGCAATTCAAATCGCGGGCTCCGCCGCCCCGCCTCCTCCCTGGCCCTGGTCTCAGTTGCGCTGTGTGTGTGCGCGCGCGCGCCTGTGTGTTGGAGCCACGCCCCTCCCGTCCGACCAATGCCCCCCAATCACTCTATAAAGCTAAGTGCAGGGTAATTAGAAGGGACGCAGGTAAAAGCCAGACGTGTTGCAGTAAATTTGCAGTTGAAACTGCAGGCGGGCCGGGCCATGGCCCGGCGCGCCATTACCGTCATCAACGCCGTCGTCGACGTCGTCGTCGACATCGTCGTCAGCGACTCGTCTGGGACCACTCCACTGGAAAAACAAAAATGGGACATTTTCCTCATTTCAAGTGTGACCCTTGGTATGTCGCATGTGTGGTGTGACCATGATTTTGGTCACGTTTTGGTGTGAACAGTGTGTTATGATGATGTCACATTTAGTTTTTCCAGTGCCTGGATGCGAACACGGGGTGGAACAAGAAAGACGAGGATGAGGTGGGAGGGAGAGGGCAGGACACGACATCGATCTCTCGACGGCTTCATTTTAACGTGTTTGGGTCGTCATGTGGAGGCCAAACGTTCTGGCCCACAACTGGTCCGCGAATCTAATGGCGTCAGAGGAGGATGGTCGCATCGCGTATGGAGTCGCGGGTTACAGCACTCATACTCATCATGGGTCGGGTTCGGGGACCTGGACGCACGGGCCTCGTCGCGCCGACCATCGATGCGATTCTCCTGCTGTGATTGGCTACGTCTTCTCTAGTCTCCGATTCGATGATGGCCAAAACCGGCACGGGGCGGTGCCCCCCCCCCCTCCGGCCCTCCTTGTAGGGCTGGAGCGGAGCGCCTGGTTTCCTCTCGATCCTGCGGATGATCGGCAGGATGAGTGATGTCAGACCAGAGTTATATATTTTTGAAACGCCCAGTCGCCCCAGCGGCGCCTTCCAGAGGGGCGCCGGTAATAAAAGTACAAAAAAAGTCACAACTAGCCGAAGGAGTATAGTAGTAAAAACATATATAGTGCTGCTGCTGCAGCAAAGGCGACATTGACGACTAGGAGCAAAGAAGGAAGACGGTGAAAGGGGGGAGGGTAGGTACAGGATAGGTGTGTGCGCGCGCGTGTGTGTAAGAGAGAGGGAGAGAGAGGCGTACGCGTGGATGTGCGCCTTGCGCTCGTTAGCACCCACTGCCCCGCCCACACACGCGTCAGGAGGAGGCAGACTCGAAGCAACGTTATCAC